TTTTTATGACAGTGACCATTGGTATGTGTACCTGACCCATAACTCAGTAGAAGGGCACTCGACGCGTAGTAGAAAAGACTGCGCCAGTCCCTTCACTTTCGCGTCCCAGGGCGAACCCTGCGGCTACCACGGCCACAGGCCGGTTGTGCTCTGCTGTACAGCAGGGCGCCGAGCTTGCGTGGACCAATGGAAAGCACAGCGGCGCACCTTTTGCTAGGGCAATGCCAATAGGGCTGGTCCACGCTGAGCACATTGCAAGTACCAGGCCTACAGGGGTTCAGAAACTATCCAGCGAGCCAAGGGCCATAGAACGGAATATAGGTACCGGGCAGAGACTTTGGCACACAGAGGAGGGCCGGGATACCGTGCTCTCCGACATAATACCAAACCCCCACCCAGCGTCCCCGCTGGGTCGAAACACACTACGTTTGAGTACAAAACCAGCACAGTAGACAACTTTCTCATTACTTTTCATTCGAGTTTCGTTGTGGTATCCACACTGCGGCTTTGCGCTGTTAGTTTCCTATCTCCCTCTTTAGTGTTCACTCTTCCCTTTTGCTTTCCCTTTTTTCCGCACTCGCCTACCTTTCTCCGCGTTGGCATCTCTCTCTGCACTTGTTCCCTTCCTCTACGCTAGGTTTCTTCTCCCAGCGCTAGGCACCTCCCTTAACGTTCACATTCTCTCTGCGCTTACTTTTCTTCTAGCGCTCATCTTCTCCCCCACGTAGCATGCCGTAATCTCCCAAAGTTCCACTCCCGCTTTCATGATTCATCTCATCATCGCAAACTTCACTCACACAACTTCGTCAGTCATAGCCCTTAGACACCTCATGTGCATCATGCCTGAGGTACGCCGCGGACAGGGTAGTGGAAGGGGAGGAAGAGGAGGGAAAGCAAAAGAAGAACCGCCGGCTAGGGCACGGCGGGATTATAGCTCGGAGGAGGAGGAAGAAGAAGAGCCACGAGGCTACGGTCGCCCAAGGCCATACCCCCGCTATTCGCTAGCGGGGTGGTAAAGCTCCTTCCACCCCTGCTGTAAGCAAAGCCATAGTGCCAGCTCCACCTTCCTCTATCCCATGCACTGTCTCGTCACCTCACCACCCTAATCACTGCATTCTCTTCAGCATCTTCTTCCTTCTCTTTCTTTTCCAGCTCAAACTCATGACCATCTTTGATGTCTTGTATAGGCATGATTTCTTCTCAGCTTTCTGAGTCTGATTTCTGCCCATAAAAATTTCAGTTCACAGTCTAGCTCATAGCGTCCCAGGCCTGAGAGTTTGGCTTCCTTAAGGCCAGGGATGCAGGTTCCTCGTGAACCAGGCCGCTTGTCGGCCACCAAATAAAATTTTAAGAAGGATTTTGTCTGCTTGTTTGACTTGTTCAACTGTTGGTCTTTCACATGGAGGTTACCTTAGCTCTTGATCAGGCATCTATGCCAGAAATGACCCCAGTAACGAGGGTACTCACTTTGTCTACCATGCTGGAAATAGGGCATACCAAACCCTCTTTTCTGTTCTCTGGTCTGAGTGAGACGTCTTCTCAGCTTCTCGAGCACCTGATGGGGATACCAAACCCTTGTTTTCATCCTCTGGTCTGAGTGAGGCGTCTCCTCAACTTCTCAGATAAAAGGGAGGGGATACCAAACCCTCTTCATTTTCTCTGGTCTGGAAACCTCAAATAAATACTTGTGTACCTGCAAAATCAGCGAGTCCCACAGACAATAACCATGCCCCAGTAAGCTGACCCTTTGACAACCAACAATCAAACATTAACAAATTAAAATAAACCCATAAATAAAATAATAAATAACAAATAATAAAATACATAACAACTCTTCACACCCAAAATTTATTGATTGCCTTGATTTCGGCCCACCACTGACCAGGAATGTCAGACGTCCCGTCAGTCTGATATACCTCATTCGGCCCGTCTCAGGCCAGGACTAGTCAGACCATTTGTCTTGACAGCCCCTTTGACCTGCCTCCAGGTCAGGACCAATCATACCCACTACTCGAGTATGACATCCCTTTGGCACTCTCGCCAGGACACCCAGACTATAGCGGGTCTGGCCACCCTATGACAGTAGACGTCCCGTCAGTCAAACTGTCCCGAACCCGGATTTGACCACTGTGGTCAGGGACCGGCTCACCTACCAGCTTTTGGCTAAGAGCGCTGACTGCCCCGCCCAAATTTCCGAACGTGGGACCCAGTCTAAGCACAGTTTCAGGCTCTGGCTAACCTCGTTGGATTGCAACCTCTGACTACGGTAGGGTTCCAGCAGACCCCTTTCGACCTCATAGGCCAGACTCCCGGAGCCTTAGCCTCAGTCGACTACGAAATTTGACACTCGCGTCGGGGACCTGCTGACCCCACCAAATTGCAACCTACTGCGGTAAGGCTCTGGCTGGCCCCGACAATCAATGCATCCTTAGGTTAGAGAAGAAAAATCCTAGGCACAGACAATCAAGCAAGCACATCATGACCCACAAGCAGACTGTCCACGCCCCATAACAGAACAAACATTTCTGAAGAGACTTCCCGTCAGTCTCAAGAGGCACTGAACAACAACATGATAACCAACACCAAGCCCTTACAGGAAACCTCCCTTCAGTCTCAAGAAAGATGCTCAGTGCTGGCCCCAGAGAGGTCCATTCCCTCAGCTGGGAATTTCCTTTTCTTTTTCTAAGAGACGTCCCGTCAGTCTCAAGGAAGTACTGAAATGCTGATCTCAGAGAGGTCCCTTCCCTCATTCGAGCGAAGACAGGTCCTTAGCCAAAGGCATGAAGTCCCTCTACTGACCACTCTCAGTCAAGTAAAGTTGAACTTCTTTGTACCTGCCTTCATCTGAATCTCTTGGATGAACTTTTTACTCAGAGACACGAAGTCCTTCTGCTAATAACTCTTAGTCAGTCAAAATTGAACTCCCTCATGCCCATCATGCTCTTCGCTTTATCTTAGGAGGTACTGATCATACGTTTTGATGTGCCACAGCCATGAGCTTCTCAAATCTTTAACACTATGTCAATACTTACGAAACTGATCTTTCAATTATTCCCCCACTCTCAGGGACTTGACACTCATGGAACGGCTGTAGCACTACATCAAAAGACTGACTTAGTCATTTGCTGAAATACATGGAACGACTGTAGCACTACATCAAAAGACTGACTTAGTCATTTGCTGAAATACTGAATGAAAGAACTTGCTGAAAACTGAGATAGTGAAACTGAGATGTTGAAACTGAAGACTGAAATTAAATTACCAAAACTTAAATGATGAAACTGAAGTTCTGAAACAAATGCTGAATCCGAAATGCTGAATTGACTATGCAGAAATGATCATTGACCTTCAAAAATTATGTCTTGCTGTCTCATTGTCTCACCGTACCTTTTCTCTTAGTTCTCTTACTTAGATAATTGACCCCTCTTCCCTCTCCTTGAGGTTGCTGTAGGAATCAGATCTGGGTCTCTTAATATAAACTTACTAAGTCTAGATCCTGATACCATGTCATGAACCCTGGATCCGTCCATTTATGAAATCTCATAAACCTTGTCTTCTGCCTCTCCTGTGATTCTGTAAGGACCAAGCCATCTGGGCTCCAATCTTTTAGTCCATTGTGTCTCAAGAGAACTGTCAAACAGAAGAACAACATCTCCAATCTTCAATTTCTCTTTTCTTATATACCTTTTCTTGTTCCATCTTTCTTGATCTGATAGTCTGCTGGATGTCATCCTCTCTGCAGCATCCATCACTGCCTGATCAACTTCTGATATTTGCCTCATTCTAATATAAAGAAGCTCTGAAATAGAAGTCTCTGTCACTTTCTTGACTTGACCACGTCTTGACAATACTCTCAATAGGCAATGTAGCATATCGGTCGTACCACAGAGTAAAGGGTGCATAACCAGTAGTTCTCTTGACCGTGATGTTGTCAGCGTACACAGCAACTCTTAAAACTTTCGGCCAGTAACTGAGATTTCCCTCACACCACTTGGCAAGTGAATCTTTCAAAGTTTTGTGGCCTCTTTCAACAGGTGCATTAGCTTGAGGGTGGTAAGTAGTCACATACCGAATTCTGACACCTAATCTGAGTGTGGTTCTTTTTACAATTTCATTTCTGAACTCTGATCCTCTGTCTGAAACAAATTCTCTGATGAAAGGATATCTAAGATAGACTTCTTCTATCTAGTCAGCCACTTGTTCGACTGTTTTCCTTTTCAGAGTTTTTGCCTCAACATATCCAGAGAAATTATCTCTCATGTTTAATATGAATCTCATCCCACCCTTGCATGGAGGCATAGTGATGAGATCCAGATGAACTGTGCTACCTGGCTCTACCAGGATTGTAGGGAATAGGGGCTCAATCATTCTTGTGGTAGACCTCTTCTGATATAAGACACATGATTTACAGTATCTGAAAATCATGTCTCTTATGCCAGGCCAGAAGTAGAGTTTGACAGTTTTGGAGTAGGTTGCCTCAACAGCCCTGTGGCCCACCAGGAACTCCCTCATGCAGGGCAACAATTATCTCTGACTGCCTCTCTTTACCACAGACCACTCTTAGTGGAGGTAGGCCTCCCTTACCATCCACAAAGAGATATCCTCTCTTTAGTCTGAATTTTTTCCTTAAATTCTTACAATAATATTCTTTTAGCTGCTCCTTTTCCATCTTCTTGTCAATCTCTTGATAATTTTCATCATATTTTTCAAAGAAGAAAAATATCTCTTCTTCCTTCTCTTCACTCTCTTCTTCTTCCTTCGAACCTGAACTTTCCCCAATCTCATGGGCAGTCATTGCTGCTGCATTAACTCTTGCGTACCAATCGTTTGGTTCATCTTTTTCTTCTTTCTCCAGAATCGACTCATAAACGTATGCGCTTGGAATTTCTCCCCAACTGTCTCTCTCTTCTGGCCACAGACTCCACTTGTAGGAGCATGGTGCTTCATAATCCTCATCATCTTTTTCATTAAGGAAATTATCAACATAGGCAGATTCTTCAACTATTCCATTTACATTTTCGGCTTCTTCTTCTCGCCACTCAATCCGGCTTAGGCCATCCGCTCTGTTTTTCTCAGTGGGGATCTTTTCCAGCTTAAAATCATATGTCAAGATAAAGGCGATCCATCTGCTAACTGTTGGATCTACCTGTTGGTGATTTTTAATGACACCAATCACAGCAGATGCATCAGTCCTCAGAATGAATCTTCTTCCTAGTACGTAGTGCCTAAAGCACCTAAGGCTATGGATGATTGACAGTAGCTCTTTCCGAAATTGGGTGTAGCCTCTTTCTGTAGAATTGAAGGTTCTGCTCTCAAATGTCAAAGGTCTTTCCCTCTTATTTTCATCTTTCTGAATAAGCACTCCACCCAGAGCAACTGGTCCTCCATCCGCCTCAATGATGAAAGACCTTGCCTCTTCATCATCATAAAATGACACTCCTAGCACTACACCACCATCTCTTAATTTTTCCTGTAATGTTTCTGCTGCAGCTTGTCTTTTATCATTCCATGCTAAGTTAGCACCTTGCCTTACCATCTCCCTCAGAGGCTCTTCAAGGGTTGCAAAATGAAGAATAAACATCCTTCAGAATCCGTAGACTCCCAAGAAGCTCCTGACATCTGTCACTCTTTTGAGAGGCAGAGGCCAGTTCAAGATCTTGTCTATCTTCTTGGGATCTGGGCTCCTACCCGTGGAGAAACATCTGAAGCCCAAGATTATCACTTCTGGTTGAAAAATAAAGGACTTTGGTCCACTGGCAGTAGATTATATTTCTGAAGTCTTTGTAGGACCATCTTAACTCCTTCAGCATGTTCCCAGACAAACTTTCTGACTCCCCCTGCGACCAAAGTCTCATCTCTTACCAAAAGTCTTTTTACAGGATTATCATCAATGTAGGGACTGATTATTTCAAGAGAGATATCCTGCATGACTTTGATCATATCTCTTTGAACCACTGCCACTCCGTTAGTTCAGCCCTGAGGTACCACACACATTTGAACAAGCCCCTTCGGCGTGTGCATGACAGTCATTGGCCGGCTAGTGGGGTCAATAGGGAACTGATCATAGCCAGAATACATATCAACTAGAGAACAAATACATCAATCAACAAAGGATTCAGCGAGGAGATCAGCATTAGGAAGACTACCTGCATCACGTATCGTTACAGAATTGAGCTTCTGAAGATTTTGTATCTATCTTACTCCGCCCCCTAGTTTCCAGAAACAAAACCAATGGTTAGCATACGGCCCATCAGCAGGTTCTGCAACATTAGATGCAATCTTTTTGTCAAGATACTTCACAACTTCTGCCTTTTCCTTCAGGGCATACTTGGTTGGTCTATCATTCCATAGAACGTGATCAACTGTCCAAATCTTGGCCATCTTAATCATGTCCACGTCCAATCGCCCTCTCTCTTTGTCATTAAAGGAGAAAGCACCAAAGAATTCCTTACACATCCTAAAAATATATTATTTCTCTTTAGGCAGGATAAATTGATCCGAGCCTCTCTTTATTGTGTCAAACCTCTCTTTGGTGACCCTATTCTCCAGTTTTGCTGACTCTCTTAATGCTTTTATAATCTTCCTCTCTTTTTCCAATGCTTCATCATAATTTTTCTCTATTAGGACTGCCACCGGGTTTTTCTTCACCCCCTTGGGCTTGTATTTTCTTTTTGACCCAGTGACTATTTTCCTAAAAAAGGGTGAGTCGATGCAAATCTCAATTCCAGCTTTCCTCCCTTAGCAGTCTCTACAGCTTTCTTGAAGGCTTCAATTTGTCCATCCTCATCCTCGAGTTTACCAAGGGCCTTCATCATTTTCGAAACCTGACTGATTCCCACCGAAACCTCTTCTTTTGCTTCTTGTTTTTCTTCTTCGTTTAGACTCCTCATCCTTTCAACAGATTCTTCCCTTCTGATCGAATTAGCAGATAATTGATGCTTGAAATTATTTTTCGTACAGACCATAAAGGTCTGCTCTTGGGCAGTCTCAGGATCCTGTAGGCCAATCCAAGATGACCCCTCATGACTGAAAAATTGGACGGCCTCCATCCTGTGCAGGAATGAAGTTCCCAAGATATAGTCATGGTCCAGATCTGGCACCACAAAACCCAGTAACTCCACAGTCATTGTCCCGACTCGAATAGGCAAATTGTCAATAAATCCCGCCACAAACAGCTCTCATGCAATATTGCTCAGTACATTTTGTGCAGGTCTATCAATAGATAAATTACATGCTTCCATCCTTCTTCGTGAAAGAAGTATCATCTCTGCCTCAGAATCCACTAGGGCTGGAATCTTCACTTGATTAATACGAATCGTAAGGTGCCCACAACCCATGGTTGCAAATCTCATCTTGCAACCTTGTAGTGATCTGTTCACCTGATTGGGAAAGACTGATCCCAAGTAATTAACTTTCAATTCTTTCTTCTCAATTAATTTCTTCAACCCTTCTCTCAATTTAGGTGCTAGTGTCATTTCTTCCTTGAAAGACAATGTCACTTCCGTCTCTTCCAGCATTTTAGCAATTACATCATAAATCACTGTTCCATCATCCAAATCACTCTTGAGAATAAATTTTATTTTTCTCCCCTGTTCATTCTTTTCTTGTGAGCGTTACTGTTCAGGGTCATCAAGGATGTTAATAAGTGACTCCTCAGCCTTCTTCCTTTTCTTTTCTTCTATCATTTGAGGTGTCATACGGGTTTGGTGGTCCCTCACTTCACCAACCCTGACACTGGGTTCCATGATAAGTTCTGGAGGTAGATTATCATGGAACGACATCATGTTAGCCAGAAGGTGATCCATTTCATTGGAAGAGGACTCTACTAATTCAGAAGGATTCTGAAAAGCAGGATTCCCTCCCAATGGAGACTCACTTGTAGATGTCTCGCTAGGTTCACGCTCTGTCAATGTTAAGGACTGCAAAGACAGCTCAATCGTGGTATAAGGGTCACTTGTTCTTTGTACTAGTTCACTAGGTAATTCTCCAATGAGGAAATGAACATTCACATTAGCCTTTCTCTTCTTCTTAATCTTCATCTTTTCGTCATGTTTAAGAGCAAGAAGCCTCATACCTCCTGGATGTCTGGGGTCCAACTTATTCCATGAGCTATCACAGACATGGCCCATTGCATCTTTCTTTGCCACACCACTCCTTACATCCTCCTCAAGAGGCTTGTAATAAGTGGTAGTGTGACCCCCTTCACCACAGTAGTAGCAAGTAAAACTTTTCTTACGACGCTCATCATATTTCCTTCTTTCTCTGTTCCCTCCATCACTATTCTTTCCATTCCTTTTGGATCTTGACGAATCCCCCTTCTCACCATAATTTTCATTGTCATCGTTGTCGTCGTCATCTTCCCCACTTTCAGCCTTTTTCTTTCCTCTGTCATCCACAGCATGCGTTGCAGGCCTTGCAGGCATAAAGTTAGTCATTACCTTTTGAAGACTATTCTCAGTAGTTAGATTGCTTCCTCTATCCATTCCATTCTCAGTCTCCCAATCCTTGACCAAAGTGTTGATCTGATCCAGTGACCATTTCTTATGGGAGACAATAGGTAAAATTTTCATGATCGTAACCATTTCATCCCATCTGAGAGGGTAATAATGAGTCTGGTTAAGAACTGCCTGTCTTTTAGTGCCAGTAAAATTTGTCAAAAATATATGGCATCTCTGAGCTTCATCCAAATAAGGGATTCTTCTTGCTGTTCGAATAAGGGTCTGAAAAAAAACGTTGAAAGTGTCATATTTAGCTCTTCTGATGTTGAGTAAGTCCTTAGTTGTTGTTGGAACTGAATCTTTTTCAAATTTCTTTTTCAGTCTTTCCTTGACTTCTTCCCAGGTAGTGACACCTTCCATTAGCTTTTGAACTGCAAGTCTTGAGTCAGTATGACAATAAGATAGAAGGTGCTTCAGCCGTTGCTTATCTGTCCAGCCATAACTGGGTCCAAATAATTCATACTTATCCCAGAAATCATTAACCTGAGGTCATCTGAAGCATGAAATCCTCTCATCTGGCGTCTTTGCTCTTGCAATATCTGACCCTCCTTTTATAGTGTCTACACTCTCGACCAATTCCCGTATAACCCCAACCAGGGCCTCTTCACTGGTCCCTGCGGAAGAACTCGGCCTTCTTCGTCCTGTCATCTTGACCATAGATTTTTTCAGATGTTCTCTTCTCTCTCTCTGTCACTCTTGTCCTCTCATTCCTTGCCCCTCAGTCTCTCTCTCTTCTAGCAAGGGATACAGACTCATTTCTTTCTTCTCTTGTCTGCTCTACCCCTTGAGAGTTATGTACATATAAGGTATAGGCAATAATGGATTGGGTAGTGATCAAGGGCAGTGCAATCCTTCTCAGCCTTCCAATGTAATCTTCAATCAACTCTCTCTCATCATCCCTACTCAGTCTTCTATCATACCCCTTTATAGTACCCCGAATCATAAAATATCGAGTTAGGTCTATAATCTTATAATCAAACTGCATCGTTTACAACCCACTATTGATCCTTCTTGCAAGAGAGACCCGTTTCTGAAAAGTGTGATATGATACTCTCTCAGTAGTTCTCACTTTCACCACCTTTAACAAATAGTTTATCTCATTCTGGTCAGTGATAATTCTCAAGGCAGAATCTCTCATGCGATATGAGAAAAACTGCGAAAACTCAAGCTCATCTTGGGTAGAAAGATTTATGTCAGAGATCCGAAGAGTCCCTTCTACCTTGACTATTCTACCTTCCAACACAACTCCCAGTTTCAGCTGTTCAGTCAAGCTGGGCATCGCTAAACATCATAAGCGATATCTGAAAGGTAGATCACGGGTTGGACAAAACCAGGGATCTCGAATATGTATTCAATGGTATTCTAAAGAAGGGATTTCATCATCACAGTGGAGTCTTTTTCTCTTGCTCTACCAATCTCAACAATAGCTTCCAACAGAGGCATCCAATCTCTCCTGCCTTCAAATCCCTTAGCAAYYRAGAACTCRGGRAGCCTYTYGAATTGTCTTAYTTMTTTCCCCCAGGTTACTTTTCTCTTTAACTTTTCAAGTCACTCCTTGGTTCTTATGAGACTAATATAAGCACCTGTCTGACACTTCAAGTAATCGTCTTCCTCTTCTAGGCCTGCTGGTACATAGATCCTTACGTCCAGGCTGTCTGTACTCAGAAATTTGACCACTGGGATGTGAAATATTATGGGCCCTCTCTCACAAGTCTCATATCTCAGGATCACAAAAGAATTAGCACACCCTATCACCTCATAGAGTTTACCCCTCAAAGTAGTCACCCTTGCTACTGAGAGTATTCTTCTTGAGCTCTCTTCACTTTCCATGCAAACTTTATCATGGCATACCAATTGTCTTTAGATAGATCAATATCAGGTAAAGGAGGGACTGAGAGTCCATAAAAAACAGTAAATCGAGACGATCCAGTGAAACATTTGTTCTCTTTCTCAAGCCTCTCTTTCTCTTTCAGTACCACCTCTTCAGCAAACCCCCAACATCTCCCGTATCCTGCATCAGCACTTCTTTCTTTTGGGACATAGATTCTCACATCATACACATCCAGATCCGTAAAATCGAATGTCAGTACATATAACCGTCCCTGCTTCCATCCGCTCTCGACCATCTCATATCTGACAACCTCATATGGGAACACCCCTTTCTTACTTAGAGTGTTCAGTGACTTTACGAGACGCTCAACTTCCTCCTGACTTGGGTCAAAACCTGTGCCGAATTTCTGTCTTCTCTGTCTGATTTCTTCTGCTGAAATCTCTCTAGTTCTCATGACCACCGTTTTTTTTCTCCTTTGTCAATACCATGTTGATTATCGGTAGCCAGGTAGCCCCATCACAATAGCTATCAGGTATGGGAGGAGTCGGAACAGTCTCATATGTCACCGATATTAAACCCCATTCCACTTTCTTCTTCTGTTTAATTAATTCCGCCTTCTCATCATATAGAGACTGAATTGCAATTTTCCGTAGCCAGTTGAAGGTCTCACCGTCATCACAGTCTCCCTTCTTGACATAGGGACGGATATCATAAATATCTCCCTCCAAGAAGTGAGTCAGCACTACGCTGATGGCCGAGTTGTCTAAACGATAGACCCAACAATGCTCATACCGATAGGGGAATATTCCTTTAGTAGTTACCTTCGAAAGTTTTCTCAATGCATCTGAAGTTAGCATTCTTGACAAATTCACGGAACTCTTGATTCTCCCTTTCCCTTCTCAATGCTCAAAGGACATCATAGGCTCATGAGGCATACCTGAATTCAAGTTTGATTCTCTCTGTCAATAATATCAATCTCCTCCTCCGGTCCAGTGTGGTACCTCACACAAGGAAGAAATAAGACACAGTTAGCAATTGTGATTCTCAAGAGAATCGAGACTCAATGAGAATAATAAAATTAATATGAAGCTCATAAAATTGTCAACAGTTCTCAGATCTTAATCAAAAGCCCAAAGCTGCTTGCTGACCCAGGTTCGTTCCGGACACGAAAATTTTTCACGTCCCTGGCAACGGCGCCATTTTTGTCGCACTTTTTACAATCGAGCCACTTCAGGCGACCGGAAAGCCAATAGGCTGTCACGCATGATTTTGTATGTGATTGCAATAAATGAAATAAATTAAATAATGCAAGTCCCTTCCTGTTGTGTGGGTCCGGCTTCGAGCGAGACCCTTCAATTGCGGTCTTCGCCGGTCCCCGGTCTTAGGAATCTTTTATTTTGATTCGGAACAGCAGAGAATCATGCAAATAACAATCATAAAATTATGGGGTGCAATGCATGCATCAATTATGTCAATCTAATTTTGAGAACTGTGACAGAATTATCCA